TCTCTAGTCAACATTCCACATATATGTGGACTGACTCAAGACCAAGCCACACAAAAATAAGGAAAAACAGATGGGCAACGTTAGGTGCAATTCGGCCATTGGCACCGGCAGCTGGCACTACGTAGGCTGTTCAGTACCATTCAGCATGGGTGCTCTTTTTTTTCTTTTTTTCTTTTTTTTTTGAACTTCGTATATGGGAAACCTACTTAATGAGGTGATAAGAGTTTTTGAACTTCGTATATGGGAAATCTACTTAACAAGGTGATACGAGCATCCCCGGTAAGTACGCCCCAGCGTCGAAGGCTCCATCTATTGGTGGGGAGCTACACCTGCTGGAAATCGGGTCCACCGTCCCCGTACAATGATGAAAATGTATCTGCTGGAAATCAGGTCCAGCGTCTGTGTGCCCTGGTGTGAATGTATATGCTGGAAAACGGGTCCAGCGTTCCTATCCATCTGATCTATAGAACCTCGAAAACAAACTGAGACATCAATTCTATCAGGCGAGACCGTAATCATGATGTGATGTGCATTACACTAATGTGATTTGTATCTGCTGGAAATCGGGTCCAGCGTCCCTATACCAGGTTGTGTAACCATATCCAACAGTCAAAACCTACCTATATATGTCTTTATTCTATATCTATCAAACTGTAATCACGAAACCCAAAGCGCGATATGATGTATATGATCTTTGTCAATCAAACCTAAAAACAGTGCTCTATCAATAGTGAGAGATGTATGATCTGAACGTCAAGTCCAGCAACCAATATGCATTATCATGTGAAACGATCAGGGGGCATTGATTACTTCCCTGCGCAGGGAAGGAGTGACCTCCTGCTAACTAATCCCTAAACAGCCCGCCGCCAACCAACGGGACGATCAGCCCCCCATTGATGATTGATATTGCAGGCTGGGCAACATCAATCACCACCAGCTGTCCTACTCCTATCCTCTGCCAAACCACGAGGAGGAAATTCGTATCGAGGTTGGAGGGGGGGAAAGCAGTAAACCAATTCTCCATATCAACCTCCTATCCCACGACGACTGCTTGCAGCATCACTCCCATCGTGCTGATGATAATCTCAGATGCGCGGATGCCGCTTCCTACCCCTCTGCTCCCCTGGTCGTCGCCGCCGTCATCATCGTCGTCGTTGTTGTTGTTGTTGTTGTTGTTCTTGTTGTTGTTGTTGTTGTTGTTGTTGTTGTTGTCGTCACTATCGTTGAGGGGGGGGGGGATATCAAACCCCTTTTCCGTACCAACCCCACTCTCCCCCAAGTCCGCACGCGGCATCTCCCCCATCATGTCAATGATGATGACAACTGCACGAACGCCGCGTGGGTGCTAATATGTGGGCTGGGCAGTATTGAGAGGATTTCATGTGTTAGTCTTCCCATGTCCTGATCCCAGATGTCCCCATGGTCCCAGTCCCCTGCACCACCAACGAACCAGCAGGTCCAGCGACCGAAATGCTGATTTGGGTGCTGTAAGTTATTAGGAGTTAACAGCAGTCTAAAGTCGGTGGAAGTCTGGTAGGTCGGGTACCTAACAGGAAAAGTCGATTCCCAGTCCAAATTTAGCAGCAACATGCAGGGAATGTCTGGAGACTTCCGGAACCTATGCAATTTGAGGACCATAGGCCTTGGGGGACTGTTATCGGTCGAGAACCAACAAGATTGCCAACGGCAACTGCTACTTAAGTTGCTGCAGTACCTGGGAGCATCACGTGTTCATGAGCAGGTTATGGAAGCATTGTTGTAAACTTGTGCAACAGTTCAGTGTGATGGTCGGGTGAACTGGCAGAGTAACCTGGCATGAGGCGCAATAGCTAGGGTCAACCAAGAGAAGAGAGAGGCATAGTAGTTGATAGGAGAGTGAGCCTGAAGGCATTCACAGAGAGAGACAGAGGGAGTGATACAAGCAAGAATGAAGAGGGAGGGAGAACGAGAGGAAGTACATACCTGAGTGTTTAGGCATGGCAACTCCAAAGCTGCCTGATGCTGGAAATTGGGCAATTCCTCCAATTTTGTAATTTGAAACAATAATATGGAGAGTCTGCAGCGCTACCGGGAGCGCTCCGCCCCAACATTCCCAAAGCACGAAACCGGGTTCGCACAATGGGCCGATTGTGACGAGTGGCAGAGCCGATACACGATGGTGGCGGCGCGAGGATGTCGAGTCATGGAGTGAAGCGGTGGGGGAAGCTGATGATGGGGAGGAAGAAGGTGTGTGAGGGGTGAAAGCGACAGCGCTGGATCAAGTGTGGGAAGGGTGGACTTCTGCTGAGGTTTTGGGGACGGTGGAAGGTGGTGGTTGGGGTTTGGTTTGGTGGGTTGTTTTCGAGCTTCCTGGTGATGGAGATGTAACCTGCTGTTGCTGCTTATCTCTACGAGAAGGTGCAAGTAAGGACACGAGTTCTCCTCTTCTGGGACTGCCTGTGGGGAGCTGTTGGGGGGTTCAGCAGCCTGGTTCCGCAACGTGGTGTGGAAGCTTTGGTAAACGCCCTGCAGTCCGTTGTTGTCACCGTTCGGCTTTGATTGACCGGAGTGGTCGAATGACGGCCGAGATGCCTTAAGGTCGGTGACGTGTGGAGGTGAGATTCGGGAAGGGAGGATCGTGTGTTGGGAACTCGTAGGTTTCTGCGCTATTTTCAGGATTTTCTGATTTCCTGATTGACTGGGTATGATCTTGTATTTGTTTTCGCCTTCGCCTGATGATCAACATGTTTTCGCTGATTATTTTTTTCGAGAGTATTTCAGGATTTTCTGATTTCTCGATTGACTGGGTATGATCTTGTACTTGTTTTCGCCTGATGATCAACATGTTTTTGCTGATTACTTTTTTCGAGAGTATTTCGATAGTATTTCCTGTATGCATTAGATTCTTTCTAACTGATGTTTTCCTGATATTGCTCGCAGTGTTTTTTGTGTAATTCCTATTCATGAGTATGTTCTTTGGTTCATAGTTGCTTCCCTTAACGATGACCTTAACTACGATCAGGATTACTTTCTTGATTTTATATATTCGTCAGTCCAATATTGGACATCTCAAATAGATCTCTTAAATCTCATTTTTTAATTTTAATTTCCAAAAGATGTTTCAGATAGATTTCCTAATTTTTGTTTCTAATTTTCAATTTTTAAAAGTATGCTTCCGAAGTATTTTTCTATTTGAAAAAATCTACGTCTGCAAATCTCAACTTCCTAGTCTTGATTACTGTCGCTGTAAATTTTGATTCTGATTGGCTTTTTCCGTTAATTGTGTTTCAAAGCTTGCCTGGGTCTTTGTACGGTATATTTGCGGCTTGCTTTGTGAATCTGTGGGGTTCTCCTTTAGGGTTGGAGCCCCTCCCCGTGAGGGTTTCACAAGGTGGGAGGTGTTACCCTTGGAGGGGGGGAGGCGGTATTGAGGGATTGTCTTTTTCTGGGCCAGGCTGATTTAGGGTCGGATCAGCACTTGCGGTTGGGGAGAGAAGGCAAGGGGGTGGCTGCTTATAGCAGGGTGCGAGGATGAGAGGGCTGCCTTGCTTGGAGGGGGTGGGGCAGAAGGAAAGGGGGGAC